CCCTAACCAAATGACTTTCGTTAAAGAAAGATTGATTGTTGAAATCACTACTCTTGCGGAAGAACTAGTGAACGGTTACCATCGCCGACAAGGGCCCAAAAGGATTACCATTAAGGTTGACATAGTGAAAGCATTTGACACCATCTCCTGGGGTTTTCTTTTCAACTGCCTACAAGGACTTCAAATTCCTCCTTTGCTTTTCGTATGGCTTAAAGCATGTGTATGTTCCAAAAACTACACTATTGGGTATAATGGTATGGTCCATGGATATTTCAAAGGCAATCGTGGTCTTCGTCAAGGCGGCCCGCTTTCTCTATATCTTTTTGTTATAGCAATGAATATCCTCTCTATCATGTTGAACAATTCAGCCGGTGAAATGAAGATCAAATACCATCATAAGTGCTCCTCTTCAAGGCTAACTCATATGTGCTTTACAGATGATATTCTTATCTCCATTGATGGTTCTATTGACTCTGTGCAGAATTTCCTCCAGGTTCTTAAAGAGTTTGAGCTTCGCTCTGATCTCGCGCTCAGTGTGCAGAAAAGTTCTTTCTTTGCATCTGGTCTTACACAACAAGAAGTTCACACAATTAGAGCTTCAACAGACATGCCGAACGGAAACCTACCGGTGCGGTACCTTGGTGTCCCCTTATGTACAAATAAAATGACCCTCTCCAACTGCGAGGTCCCGATACAGCAGGTCAAACGAAAATTCAGTTCTTGTACAGTAAAGACCTTATCCTTTGCATGGAGATTACTACTTATCAAAACAGTCATTGCCGGTATCACTAACTTTTGGTGCTCAAATTTCCTTCTTCCTAAGGTGTGTATTGAAAAGATTAACTCTCTATGTGGCATGTTCCTATGGAAAGGCTCTATGGAAGGACATCACACTGCGAGAGTTTCTTGGGAGACAGTGACAAAATCGAAATCGGGTGGTGGACTAGGTATCAAAGACTTGGGAACATGGAATAAGGCTTGTTGTTTAAAATTAATTTGGATGCTTTTCTTTCAAGGAGGCTTAGTTTGGGTAGCTTGGTTCAGGACAGAGATACTTCACGGTTCTCTCTAACTAATGGACAGTCAATACAAGTACTGCTAATTCTTGGTTGGCCAACAAACTATTCAAGATGCGAGGGGAAGTTTATACCTTGATTAAGCTGCGAGTTGGTAATAGAGTGAACTGCCGCTTCTGGATAGATAACTAGTCCATACTTGGATCACTAAAAGACTTCTTTTCAACTACAAGGACTTCAAGGCAAGGTATCCCCATTGATACTAATATGTCTGATCTACGTATAGCTTGTAACTGGATACTCCCCCAGCCTCGATCTGATGCAATGCTGCAAGCGCAAATTACTTTGACAACGATAACCCTGGTGGAAGAAGAAGACAGCTATGATTGGGTTGCAACTGGTACACCAACTGAGAAGTATAAAACGTCACGAATTTACTGGAAACTAAAGGGAGAGGAACCGGTAGTACCTTGGGCGAGGATAGTGTGGACTAAAGGTGGGATACCAAAACATAATTTTTTTTGTTTGGTTGTTTGTACTGAATAGGTGTCCAACGTGGGATTAAATTAGGAGTTAGGGAATGAATGTGGACCCTAATTGTTTGCTATGCAATTTAGAAGCTGAAAGTCGTGATCACTTGTTCTTCCGATGCCCTTACTGTTGGCGTGTTTGGTCGGTCATCGCTTCTCGCTGCTCAATAGCTCCTTCTTCTGACTGGGAGACCGCACAAACTCAGTTGATCTCTCGACGAGGAAATAACCTTAGCAATCACTTATTACTTCTCGGTTGGCAGGGAGTGATCTACTCTATTTGGTGTGAAAGAAATCAGAGGCTGCACTCCCAGCACTTACAAACTTCAGATACCATCATCTCTAATTTTGATCAACTTGTCAAGGACATGATTCTTAGCTTCCGATCCTCATCTCCTGTAATCTCATCTGCTCTCATGCAATTGTGGCTTTCATCGGAGACGACTCCCTAACTTCCTCTGAATACCTTCTTGGACTGAGCCCGATTATTCCTTACTATCTGATCTAAAATATGGGTTTCTTAACTCTGGGTTTATTAATATGTTGGGCCGACAATTGTAGGGTTGACTATAGCCTAGTTCTTTTAAAACATTTTCTTTTCTTTTGCAATTAAATACGAATGCTTTCAGTAAAAAATAATTTTATTGACATGTTTAAAAAAATGTTTTTACTAGTAATTATTTCTTTATTATATATGTTAAGTTTTTTTACTAAAGCTTTTAAAAAACTTATTGTCTATAGTAGTTATCATATTTTTTTCATTGACTCATTTTTATCCGACGTCGCTAACCTAACTCTCTTTACCAACGGTCACACATCTTACCTTCTCTTTCACTCCAACCACATCACTTTCATTCTGATCAGATCACTTATCACATTACTTTCATTCTAATCACATCACTTTCATTCTTATTATACATCTCATCATCTCATTTGTTCTCAATACACAATTGGTTTATCATTTAACAACATATTATTCACTAGGTTATTTTCATCACATCAACACAATCAATGACTAAATCTAGCAATCCATCACATTAATTTACGAAACACAATTAAACCTATAAAATATTAACCCTAGACTAAGCCAGCAGAATTATAAAGTGTGAGAAGAGTTCACAAGTCGGGTCCTCACCTTAACTTGACTTGACGGTATAGATCTAGATCTAAAAAACGAAGAAGAGACAGCCAAAAACTCAGATCTGTGTTTTTCAAGGAGAAATGTGTTTAGGTTTTAGATTAAGCCATACCCAATGAGAAGAGGAGATGGAATAATGGATATGAACCTTACCTTATGGCTGAGGTCGGAATCCGGTTACAAACAACCGACTTGAGAAGACAACTACTAGGGTTATATGAAGGTGACGGCTTGGGCTCCAGAGGACGGCGGTGGCTTTTACGAAGACTCGCAGCTGACGAGAGAGAGAGAGAGAGAGAGAGAGAGAGAGAGAGAGAGAGAGAGAGAGAGAGAGAGAGAGAGAGAACAGCTAGAGTTTTTGGTCTTCTGGATTTCTCTGCAAAGCTTTTCTTTAGATTTGTGAATAGGCGAAAAGAGAAGGGAAACTCTTTATTTATAGAAAAAGGAAGGGAAATCCTAGGTTTACCCTAACGGACCATGGATCAAGCGGATTTTTCTCTAAAAACCCACCCAAAAAATTGGATTGGAGGTTTCAGACCTTTACATGGAGTCTCTCTTAAAGTCTCTCATCATTAAACAACTAATAAAAAGAGTAAACTGCAAAGAGAGAATACAGAGATGGAAGAGTGAGGAGAGAAGTAATTCTTTTGCGAGAGACGATTCCTTAATGTTAAGAGATTCATACTACAACTGTATTTTCCTAACTGGTACAGCTGGACTTGTTCAATCCGGATTTAGGTCCGATTTCAGTTCGATTTTTTTTTTTGTTTTTTTTTGGTATTTCGGTTTATAAAACATTAGATACCATATTGGAACCACATCTAATCTGGTTTGCTTCGGTTTTTATACTACCGGTTTCTGGTTTATTCGGTTTTAATCCATAAAACATTATTATTTGATTTAGTTTTATATTATTTGAATTTAAAAGAGGCATGTTGTCAAAATTATTATTTCTTAAAACAATCTTTGGTGTTCATAAATAATAAAATGTCAAAGAATAACAAACAAAATTATCAATGATTCTGTTTTTTTATTGTTCTTTATGTTCTTTCAAAGAAATTTCATGTCACCATCTACTTTCCCAATTTCTTAATGTATATATTTATCTGGTTTTATTTTAATCAGTTTATTCGATCGGTTATAAACTAACCTTTTCCAAATCCTATGAATTTTTAAAATCATATTCATTCGATTTATATGGTATATACCAAATCCAAACCATATTGTTTATTTCAGTTCGGTACTATTCGGTATTACCATAATGAACAGGCTTAAAGCTCATTAAAAAAAATATTTGTATTTTTTTAGAGATTAAATTAATCTTCTGCCACTGCTGATGCTCTAAACTACCATTTAATTTTCATTTATATACTATAAATATTAAAGTCAAATTTTCTTCATGCTGAATGTTAAAAAGATTATGGGAAATTTGCAAAAAAGTAAAAAAAAAATCACATATTGTCCCCTTAGAATCCCTTTAGAGATTCTTGTCCATTTAGATTAATTTTAATTTTAACCTCACTCTAACCCTCTACTTATACAATTAAAATTTTGTAAAAATTATAAATTAAAAACATATTTATAATATTAATTTTTTGAGTTATTGCACTCAATAACCATAAACTAAATCAAAATTGGCTAAGTGGATATAACATTTTTGTATTTAGGTAAATATTCATATGAAATGTGTGAATTGTCGAGACTGACCCAGAACCATATACACGCGCTTATCTATTTCGAGGAGACCTACAAGTAGATGTAGAGATGGTCTGCAGGGCCATGTCATCTTAGTCAGATTTTTGTCGGTGAAAAAGTGAGAAGTGTCTGATTGATAATACCAATGTATTCTTGCTTCTTAAGCACTATTTTCAATTCAAAATTCAATGTTATCTGGGTTAATCTACCAGTTTCAGATTTAAAACACAAATTAATCTAGTTTAGTATAATATACGAAATTTTGATACATAATTTATAAATTTCTTAGTGGACATGGTTCGAAACCGTTAACAATATATTGCATGTGTTACAATGTGAAAAATGCAAACATAGTAATTCACAAAATTAGAGACAAATCTTCATTTCTTTATTAAAAGAACAATAGTTGCGGTTTCGATTACAAAACCACCCCATGAGAGAGCAAAACATGTGTCGGAGAACCTTTTCTCGAGAGAGATACTCTTTCCGGAACACTTGTTCAACCTCTGTGATGTCTACAAGAGGAGAGGCCGTAGACCCATCACGAACCGATTCAACCTCCTCTATGCATTCTCTTAATGTCTTTTTCAATGATTCAACTTCTCGTTTATAACGCCGGATCTAATCTTTAGCTTCAAACAAACTTTCCTTCTGCCATTCAGTTTGTTCTTCTGTATCCTCCCAACAGTCGAGACCATGAATCACACATCGATGGAAACATCTTCCTGGGTTTTTGTCTGTTAAAGATAGGGTGAGTGCCATCGGCTTCGAACAGCGACATAGAGGACCGGCTGTCCTATTCAAATCACGTGAAGAAGAAGAAGAAGCTGAACTTGTGTTTGCCATTAATTGCAGCTCTTAATTGTATGTTGGAAATGAGGAATGAGTATGGTGGTCTAGTTCTTTCCAAGTGTTATGAAGCATATGATGTAGATGTTAGATGACTTAATGATATATGTCATTATGTGAGTGGTCTCAGGAACATGAAAATGTCTGCCTGGTATGCGATTACATAAAATTATTTTAACACCGGTTTAATACAGTTGTACAATTGTAGAATTGTTGGGGTCAAAATCGGTACGACAGAATTAATAACCAAAACTCCCCGCAAAAATACAAAATGAACAGTTTTATAAAACTCGAGAATCGCTTTATAAAACTCGAGAATCGTTTTATAAAACTCGAGAATCGTTTTAGAAAACTCGAGAATCGTTTTATAAAACTCGAGAATCGTTTTATAAAACTCGAAGATCGTTTTGTAAAACTCGAAGATCGTTTTGTAAAACTCGAAGATCGTTCTATAAAACTCGAAGACCGTTTTATAAAACTCGAGAAATCGTTTTATAAAACCTAAGGATCGTTTTATAAAACTCGAGAACCATTTTATAAAACTCGAAGATCGTTTTATAAAACTTAAGGATCGTTTTATAAAACTTATTTATCGTTTTATAAAACTTAAGGATCGTTTTATAAAACTCGAGAATCGTTTTATAAAACTCGAAGATCGTTTTATAAAACTCGAAAATCGTTTTATAAAACTCAAGAAATCGTTTTATAAAACCTAAGGATCGTTTTATAAAATTCGAGAATCGTTTTATAAAACTAAAAGATCGTTTTATAAAACTCGAAGATCATTTTATAAAACTCGAGAAATCATTTTATAAAATCTAAGGATCATTTTATCAAACTCGAGAATCGTTTTATAAAACTCGAAGATCGTTTTATAAAACTCGTAGATCGTTTTATAAAACTCGAAGGTCGTTTTATGAAATCCGAAGATCGTTTTATAAAACTCGAGAATCGTTTTACGAAACCACGAAAAACCGAAATAGCCGTAAAACGCGAACTAGTCGCAACTAGTTCGCCGATGGGCGAACTAAGAGATACCCATCTAGTTTGCCCATCGGCGAACTAAGCCGGCCAGGCTTAGTTCGCCGATGGGCGAACTAAAAGGTACTCATCTAGTTCGCCGATGGGCGAACTAGGAAGTGCTCAACTAGTTCGCCCATCGGCGAAATAAGCCGGCCCAGCTTAGTTTGCCGATGGGCGAACTAGAGACTTCCCGGACACTCCACGTCTCGATCTCCCGCATTCCCGATTCAAAACTTACGTCTTTCGACAAGGTCACGTTCTAAACTACGGCTGAAACATCTCCCGTTCCATCTCGATCCGACTTACCGTTCGAGTTTTATGATAAAAACCGTAAAACTTCGCTTTCTCGGAAAGAACTCGAGGAAATCGTATAAAACGGCAACGGTTAAACGAAACACCGAACATTGCCTAAACTATACGATTTATTCAAGATTTCTCGTTGAAATCATAAAAACGCGTTTTTAATAAAAACGAACGCCGAGTAAATCGTAAAACCTTGCGATTAACTCGAGTAATTTATTAAAAACGATGTCAGATCAGGAAACGATCCCGTAAAAAGTCAGAAAACGGATTTATCGCAAAACGGCCCGGAAGGACCTAAAACGCGATAAAAACCATCTCGCGATTTCAACAGAATCTAACCCGTAGATTTGATAACGTTTTGACGGTTTACTCGCAGGAGGAAAATAAAAGTCAAGTTTAAAGATAAAAGGTAGATTTGAAGAAAAATAGAAGATTTCCGCGGAAGAAAAGGAAGGATCGAGAAAAATGGAAAGTTCCCGATATAGTCGAATCTGGGCGAAATGGAAAGACGGAATGACCAAGGCGAGGAGTATATAAATAGGAGGTCTAGGGCAGAAGCAACAGACACGAAATTCAGAGCTCTCACCACCAAAAACTAGCATTTAGGAATCTTTCTGTTTTTCTGTTAGCGAGCTGCGTCTCAATTAGGGTTTTTTGTTCTTAAGTTTTCGGCTACTCTCTTTGTACCAGTTCAACACAGATTCGGAATAAGAACCTCTTTGCTCTCGATTTTCGTTTATCTTTTAATAATTCTAAGTTTCTCGTTATCTTAATCTTCGTTGTGCGGTTCTGCAGATAGCCGGTTCTTCTGGAAACTTAGGGTTTTTCCCGAAGTTTCCTTTTTTACGATTATTTGACAGTAGGTGGATTTCGGTTCCCACAAGAATTAAATCAACCAATGGTTTTGATGAACCGAATACAAAACCCTCAACATCTCATGTTTCCAGGTTTTCTTTAGGGGAATTGTTTTTTAAAAAAAAAAATTGGTGGAGTAGATATATTGTGTCAAATGCAACCTTTTTCAAACCTGTCATGATGATAGCTATGACATTCTAGGTGCAGTGACCTAGTGATGAGGAAGTGAGCTGGATGCACAAGTTGTGCATATATATATATCATCATTGCTGTATCAGGAAGAGGAATGTTTTGGCATATACCTCTTGCTCGTTCAACTATAAAGGACGCCCCCCCCCCCCCCCCCCCCCCCCCCCNCTTGCTCGTTCAACTATAAAGGACGCCCCCCCCCCCCTCCCCCCGGCTGCTTGGCTCTTGCTTCTCACGCATGTATCGCTAATAAGAAACTTTTGAGAGTCCAAAACAACCAATTTTCAAGCAGCAAAATCAACCACCACACCTGCCCAATGCTTCTTGCCAAGGTTGAAAGAGAAATAATAACTCATGGGATTGGTATCCTTCGTCTTGCCACAGAAGTATTATGTCAATCCTTTTGGAACACACATGATTTTGCTTCGTAGTAAGACTGTAGAATTTTGACTGATTTATTGCAAGTGTTCCTGCGATTTTGGTAACGAGTATGTAACATGCTTCATTGTATTGAGCCCCTTGGTGGTTTCTTACAACTGCTTGTAGTAGAAGAATTGACACATCTGCGACCTGCAGTTATTTTGAAACTGTATTAATCCTTTTGCAATTCAATGATCACACATTTAACTAATATAACTAACGTTTTGCATAACCTAGAAACATTAGTTAGAAGAATATAGTTCAATAAAGGTTCTTGCAATATAGTATAATAACTGGTTTACATTATATAGTATAAAAATCAGTCTTTAGTTAGAAGAATATAGTTCAATAAAGGTTCTTGCAATATAGTATAATAACCGGTTAGTCACTCATATAGCAGTAGAGTTATGAATCAAATAAGTTCATTCTATTACAAAATGGAAACTTTAAGCATTTAACCTACTCTCCATGTTTGATGACGACTTCTGACTGTCAAATCGATGATGTCCTTAGCTGATGTTGCTTGACCATGGACGTTTATAATGCTGATATAGAAAATAAATGTTTACAATATGTATATTAGTAGTAGTTTCAATGGGATTTACAACTGAGTTCTAGATTAGATGGCAAAACATACTTACAAGTGTTTCTGCAATTTTTCCTCTAAGTGTTGAAACTTCTTCAGCATGGTTGCAGGGTCATCTCTGACAATAATTGCCTCTGGTACTGGCGTAAGCGTGATAACGTTATCGGGGCACATTGATAATCTGTGAGAAAACCCGCAGGAACTGTCCGCTGTCTTTTTTTTTCTACGGACTATATTATTACCAAGTATATCAGGCACATTATCCTCACCACCATCACATATTCTGTATCCCCAAAGTTATTTCGTTCGGTTGAAAAAATTTCTCTTGTGTTAGACCCAAAGAAAATGATGGTGCTTCTGTGTCAGGTCTGGTGTACGGATTCTAATCAATCTGTAATTTAGTGTTAAGAACATATGTATGTTCCAATAACCAAATTTATGGTTTATGAAACTATGATAAAGTTTGTATGCAATACCTTTGTAAGAATTTTTCTACCTTGAATTTTCCCGGTTTGGCTTTGAGCCGACATTGTCTCATTGCTTGGTTCTTCGACCATTTTTCTCTTGTTTGTTTGGAAATCTTCCACTAATTCAAGGGGGTTGGTATAGCCCTATACAAACATTAAAAATAACTTTAATTTTTAGTAAATGTGATTTTAGATAATATAGTTGATAAAAGGTTTTTAAATTTCTCTTTATTCACCCATCCTTGCTCTGATGAGTATGGCTTTGACCCAAAGCTGAGATGCTCCTATTACATCCATATTAGTTTGGTTTTTTGGTAAGTCAGGCACAATTTCGGTGGTCAGGGAACAACCCTACAATAAAATCAAGCAAAAAACAGTCATGTTAAATTAAGCGTTTGCAGAAAAAAAAAAGTGAAGGTTATCGAGGTAAACATTATTCATATTCGGCGGTTGTTTTTTTAGACGTGCATTGCTTTGAGCTGAAACTGATTAGATGCTCATGTTTGAATTTTTTTCTACTGTTAATTTGGTTTTCCAGCATGGTGTCTGGTATCGAGAAACATTCTTGTAATTTCAACAACCACCACACACATGTATATACTTTTGAGGGGGGGGGGGGGGCAATCTACCCATAGAATTTTTTTGTTTCTAACTCAGTCCAATAACTTGTACCTTAAAAGTTTCTTCTACATGCCCGCTCTTACGTGTATGGCTCTGAGCTGATAATGTTCCACGGTCAGTAGTATGAATTCCACTAGCATTGTTGTTGTGTAATTCCATCATATTACAAAGGGTTATAGAACAGCCCTACATTCAAAAAAAATCCTCTTAAAATCTGAGTTTACCCCACAAACCGACTTATAAATTGAAATGTGGATATGATGAAGAAAATCTGGCTTAACATGTGAAGAATATTAACCTATGTTTCTTGATTTTTTCTTGGAGGTGTTGAATATTGACTAAAATTGCCCAGTACATTACGAATTGTCTACATGTAATCATCCTCAATAGGTTCCTTTTGTTGATATTTGCTTGCCTTGTCACAAGGTGTCTTATTACCTATTACACTTCCTTTGACAGGTTCACCTCCAAGATTCCTAACAGTTGATTCAAAGTCGTCTTTCACATATTGTTTCACTTTTACGAAAATTATG